CGGGCGCGACCCGGGGCGGGCACCGGCGCCGCAGGGACACCCTCGCCCTTCCCTCGGAGCCGGGTGGGCAGAGCCGGGCCACGTGACGGGGAGGAGCCCCCGCGAGCTCCTGGGAAAGCGAAAGCAGGGGGCATGGGGACGCCTTCGAAGGAGCTGGTGGGCGCCGTGCGGCGGTTCCCCGTGGCAGAGCCTGGACAGGTGAGCCAGCCCAGGACCCGCGGGGGAGAACGCGGTGGCGCTGACGGCCCCTGACCTCCCGCGTCCGAGGTGCGCCCTCGGGGCCGCGGCATTGGCTGGCCGGGAAAATGGAAAGGGAGACACCCTCGATTAGGAAACATTCCAAGGGCAGAAAAGCTGCAGGTTTCTCAACCGGCTTTGTCGTAACCCAGTTTCCATTTAAATCGGTTTTTATTTCTTTTGGTTTTGCAAGCTCGGCTAGGCTTTGGGCACCCACATTGTCTTCAGGTGACCTGAATCTTTCCGTTAATGATACAGTTTCTCAGATGGACTCATGTCAATCAGAAGGTGGAATCCTAGTGATAGGCAACCTTAGGCTTACATCCGTATTCTGCTGGATGCCTCCTCTATCTCACACACACACACACACACACACACACACACGCGCACACACACCACACACACACACACGGATCGTTAGCATCCTCTGTCCCTCCTTTCCCTTTGCCCGTTAGATGCTTCCGTATGCTTCTTCGTTAACTTACTTGCTGCCTTCTTTTCCTTGGCACACACCTAAATAACGTAAACCTTACCCGTGTTGTAATGTTCCCCCTCGGCATGCTGTCCCAAGGAACCTGGCTTTGAATCCCAGTCATTGCGAAAGAGATACTCAGTATTGATAGAGCCTTTTTAATAAGTGAGTTAGAGCACCTGAGGATCTGTTGACCCAGGTGTCAACCAGGTTATTTTTATACTTAAAACATNGCGCACACACACACACGCGCACACACACCACACACACACACGGATCGTTAGCATCCTCTGTCCCTCCTTTCCCTTTGCCCGTTAGATGCTTCCGTATGCTTCTTCGTTAACTTACTTGCTGCCTTCTTTTCCTTGGCACACACCTAAATAACGTAAACCTTACCCGTGTTGTAATGTTCCCCCTCGGCATGCTGTCCCAAGGAACCTGGCTTTGAATCCCAGTCATTGCGATGCTGTCCCAAGGAACCTGGCTTTGAATCCCAGTCATTGCGAAAGAGATACTCAGTATTGATAGAGCCTTTTTAATAAGTGAGTTAGAGCACCTGAGGATCTGTTGACCCAGGTGTCAACCAGGTTATTTTTATACTTAAAACATATCATCAGAGAATAGGCAGAATAAGACGGTTTTAATACCCCACAGCAAATGGGATAACTGACAGATCACCAAAAACTGAAACCCCCAGACCCACCAGAAAGACAAGTGTTTAGCAAAGCCTTGGTTTGTGATTTTTTTTTTCATACAAATAACTATCACAGGTCATGGGAAAAAGGAAACAAAAAGACAATGGAAGAAGTCCATTATCTCTTGATAATTATTTCTTAAAAGCAAATGGGAGTAAGTGTTCTTATCTGAAAAAAAAAAAAAAAAGTTCCAAGGTTATCACCACTCCAATTGTATGAAGCCACCTTGGACAAAATATCCAAATTGTGGTTGCCTTAATAAACGAAAACGTTTTTGTACATAATGTAATTATAAATCTATCAGTCTGCATGGATGCAAACTGTGTGTGACAAATCGTCTTTTAAATGGTCAATTTCAACTGTACATTTCTCATCCAAGTTGTACTCTAGTCATTGGTTTAGCGTGGACAGATAACCCATTCTCTATTATTCATTTCCACAGCCCAAGTGAAACATGTTAAGAAGACTCAGAATGAGTATGAAGTCATTCCATTACCGTAGAGGTTTTCTAAAAGTCGGATGTGGAAATTTCAAATGAATATTTTCAATTTCCTCCCTCCCTCCTCCCCTTCTCTTCCCCAAGTCATCAAACACCTGGCGTGGTAGGTTATAAAGAGAGACACTGAGAGACAATTAAATTTTCTAATGGGAATTAGAATATCTGGTTTACCTCTAAGTTAAGTTTCTTTACAGGAAGTTGGAACTGGCTGGAAATTGTATGATCACTTCAGAACACAACATTATTTCCTTAGAGAGAGAGATGGATTCTTGTTGGAAACAAAAGAGAATACGAGAGGGGCTATCTAGGGGAGTGAATTTTAAAATTCCAAGTTAATATGCTGACAGACATCGCTGCTCTGTCCCGGTACCAACAGTAGGTTGATTTTACCCAGAGCCGTCTGTTCTGCACTGTCGCCATGGACTTCCCACCGTTTGCTGCCCACTAGGTCAGTCACGTTTAATCCTAGCGATATGGAAGTTTAAAGGAATGCGTTCTCCTGTACTGCAAAGCTTGTATCATAGATGCTCAGTCTGTGACTCTGCTTGACCTTTGGCATTTCACACAAGTTGAACAGCAAAATCAAACCAGCCACTTTCAATTTGTCATTCCCAAGCCATGTCTGAACGGTTCCAAAGTCACCGGAGAGGAAGTTTTAAATTAGCCCCACTCACCCCACCATTGCTATGAAAGAGCAACCATTTTCATTCCAATTAAGCCATAGAGAGCTTTCTCTCCTGTTGGATTTTGAAAATCATTTCCTTCATTCATTATTTTTCCCTTCTCCTCTGGGTGTTGTACTGTTTCCCCCAACCGAGCCTGCGAGGAGATTAAATCTTCCTGCAGAAGAGAATGAGCTTGACACTCTAAGCTTTTAAAGAAGGACCCAAAGCTTAATTGGCATTAACCTCCAGCCAGTGAGAAATTTCAAATAACTGGAATTTTCAAATCAATGGAAAGTATTTCAGGAGAGATACAGCAGAGTGGCAACTTACACATAAAAATTCAGTTCTTCGGTTGTCATGTGAGTTAAATGCAAACCCTCTACATTTATGACCCTAGGAATAGATTGGGACACGGCAGAGGACACAGAGTGAGACGTACTAAACAGCTGACTCCCTCCATAACCCAGATTCTCCCTCACTATCACACATTACTTTGCTTTGCTTTCCATTAACATATATCATCTGTACAACAATTCCCTTATGTTCTAACGACCCCCTTCCATTTGCCTCCCTCCCCTGTCCTGGTTCCACACTGGCCCCTTCTGGATTCATGTCTCGTTGTTTGGTTGGAGAATCAGATCTCCTGAGCTGGATTGGGGGGGTCTCTAGCCACCCAACACTGCCTTCTGTGGCTGCATTTTTATGTAGAGAAGGTATCATTTGGGATGCACAGAACTCCATAAACAGCTCCACAAAGTATTTCATAAAGAACTCCTTTAGTTTTCTCTTTTTTTTCCTGGAAAACTTGCCTTCAGCAAGCAGGAGTAAACCTACTTATAAGGAGTCTGATTAGAAGTGAGCAAAGAATGAAGTCAAGATATAAAAACCTCCTTTAAGGTGATCATGGGTCTCTGATCCACCTTCCTAGGTGACTGGGGAGCCACTTGGTTTTCTACCCCTCATCTCAAAGGAAAGGAACAGAAGTTTAACTTTCTCTAATGGCGTGGCTCTGGCTACAACCCACGGGACACAGGTCAAAGGAAAGGAGAGCATGTCAGGGGCTGGTTTGTGACTTGGCAGGACCGGAACTCAGCAGCCACTGACAGTCCAGAACAGGTGACTGAAGGCTGACAGAGGATTCTCTTGTTAACTTGGCCACTGTCTGGAGTGGGGAAGGCCATCTTCAATGGCCATCGGAATTTGTGTTCTACACATTGCTGGGTCTATAAATATAATAAGCAAGTGGTGACAGAATTATAGTATAAGGTGATGTACTACATGCAGATCATAAAGGATTTGGTTTTAGGACTTAAGTAGAAAATTCCACTCTTACAGCTTATTACCCAACTATATTCATATAATAAGCTTTTGGAGAATATTTTTTTCTCTACCATAAGGAAGATTTACCTGGGAACTGTGT